GACGATGCGATTGGTGGTGGCGAACAAAACGTTGCAGATGAAGAATTGGCAATTGGAGCTGGCGGGTATGATATCTTCTTGATTTTGTTCAATTCCAAATGATACTTTTTTCTGCTACTATTCCCTTTTGATGATTGGGAAAAGTGTTAATGCTTATACCACATGATCCGTACTCGTGTGGATGAAGAACGTCATTTTCAGTACCGAGGCAATGCCACATGTTTCATCGTCGGTGTCCTTAAGTTTGATGGCTGAATTGGAGAATATTGAAGAGCCCCCACAGAAGCGGTCACGGCCCAACGAAGACGAGAATGGCGCCACAAACGATGCAACAGAAGCTGAGGAGGATGAGGATGACGATGAGGAAGAAGAAGTGGTCCTTGTTGCTGGAAAAACGGTTAGTTCACATTTGCAAGATCAGTTTTTCACAAAGGACAAATCTCACTCACTGACATCCCACATAGCCTACTTATTGAAATCTGGTCATTGGATTAGACATTTGTTCGCGACGTTAAGTATCAAGCCGAATTATTAGAAAATGGGAGCAGGCAGTATGAGAGTGCTATGGGGTTCAAAAATGAATCTCTATGTTCGTAGTGATTTGTCATTGCGCTCGCACAGCTACATTGTCGCCATTGAGAAGACAGAAAGGAATCTTCGAAAGATCAAAAATAACGTTGTGGTTGATTTCGGACATTTTATGAGGTTACAACGGAGAAAAGGTGAGCCAGGAGACCAGAAGGTGAAGAGAGGAGAGAGGCAGGAAACGAGAGTTATCCACACCCAATTGTTACCGTCCAAGTGTGTAGACAGGTTTGATGGATGAGTACTTGCGAGTGATGCGGGTCTCTGTTGTATGCCTTGGCCAATCTCCATGTAGTCACAAGTTTAATACAGTCCATTTTCCTTTGGTTCAGCTTCACACAGCTACTCATAGAATGTGTCTTTGATTTGTATCGTCCAATGGAGACATAATAGGACGTCGGCCGAAGGACTATAATAAACACTGTAAGGACGTTAGGAAGGATTAGGATTGGAAAATTCATTTAGAATAGTCGTGGTACTGTAAGGCTGTATTCCCTACAGTACCACGACTCAGTTCATCTCTATTAGTCAGCGAGGGGCGAAGGCATTGAATACTGGATCTTCACCATTGAGGTAGCCGACATAGTCAGAGATACGTCAGTTTTTTCGGCAATGCATAGTTTGATACATTGGACATAGAAAATCTGTCCATAAATATTGATGCCAGAAGGTTTTTTTTGTCTACAATTACGCCTTTCTAATGTCTCTAATCACTACAAAGCACGCTAGAGCGTCGTGACAGACCCACGATGGGATTGATACGCACTGTAGTTTGCGATGTGTAAACCCTGCCCAAAGTCATTCTAATTAATGGTGCCTCCACATCATTTGAGGAATCCAATAATCACTAGAGTTCTTTTTTCAACAGCATAGTTCATCAGTAATTTCCTGGTCAAAATGCACTCAGGTTGGTAGCATCTGATATTGACTGAAGTTTCGTCCTATTTGTTGTCTCCGAGGCCTGGAGGGATAGGAATTTGTGATTATTCTATCAAATACGTCACAAATCTTTTAATCCGTCCGAGAATTAATGGAGTGCCTTGCCCCACCAGAACCGAGGGATCGCTTCACGGAGCAATCGTGGTACTGAAGGACTGTATTCCCTGTATTTCCTGAGGGACAGCATCATGACTCTGTTCATCTCTATGAGTCAGGGAGGGGCGATTCATTGAAGGGTGAGTTGTTTGGTCAGGTGATACCAAAATTCCATACTCCCGGGCTCTGAAGAAAACGATTCGCTAGGATCTGATGTACGCTTTCATCAGTTTTGTGTGTTGTTTTAATCGTCAAGTTCATATTACGGCAATATCGAGATCAGTCAAAATCGTGCTCGGCACCCTCTACAAACATCAACAACCTCGCCATCTATTAGCGTATGCACGGTCACATTCAGCTTAAATCTTCTATTTGAAGGTTCCCCTTCAGCGAGGTCACATCGGAGATGGTGGCAGAGATGACCGAAGAGGAACGAGATCGATATACGGCCTATTATGCAAGAGAATTTGTATTACTAATAGATGATCTCACTAATGATGTTGATTTTGAAAAGTAACCCTCAATAGAAATAGGACATTTGGAGGGGAGGCGGGAGTAGGAGAAGAATTCACTCTTTTTGATCCGCACTCTCTTTGACTCTTTTAACACCTGAAAGCGTGGCCGTGCCGAGTCGAGGACGAGAGTTGGCTCGCCAACGTCTCACAGGGTTCGAGAAGAGGACATGACTAGTTTAAAGAGTACGTTCATTAGCCTGCTCTAGTCTGTGCCCGACTCGGCAACGCTATGGTGTGAAAAACAGTCACGGAGCCAATTTAGCATACTGTTGAGGGATATTCTGAAATCATTTTTCTACTGCACTGCTAACTTCGTTAGTTATTTACCTGAAGCCGCTGTGTTAGCTTAGGATATCCATGTAAGAATGTGACGTGCGGGTCAATGTTTCCTTTTATAGTTTCTCATAAATGAGTGTTAGGAGCCGAGGAAACACTTTGTTATTTCCACCTACAATGTTCCACATAATTCACATAATCTTTATGTCTCTTCTTGTTGTATTTATTTCATGAAAATTTAACAATAAACTTACCGATAATTTATTGGAAAAGATAATAATTTATACATTCACAACATCCTAATCTATTAATTATCACAAGTACAATTTCACAACGCGTGAGAAAGACTCACGTGAAAAAACAACGACATGAGATCATAAGAGATGTAGCGATTTGTTCATATTGCACGTCTGAAGACATTTCAATTGGGCTATGCGGTCTGGTAGCAAGAGATCACACTCGAGAATACAGTTCACTTCAGTCTGAAAATAAACGAATTGATTACTGACTTTGGGTTGCGCCATGCTTTCGGTTTATATCATGTTCGTAGATGTGTTTGGATGCATTTTTGAGTAATGCATTATGGTAGGATAGCATGATCAGTTTGATTCTCTGTTTCCAGAGAAAGCTTCGGTACTATTCTTCATTGTTGACGACAGCGAACCAGCAAATAGGCGTTTAAGATATGTATTCATTGGGCGAGTAGGCGACCACCGTCGCTAGCGGCGAGGATGAGAGAATGTATACGCACTTAACTTCGATACGCTGGCCAGCTTATTTCACATAGTGGAGAGGCGGACCTTTTAAGGGTACAGACTGACATACAATTCGCACTGAAGGATACGTTCCGGCAATACAGCATGGTTTTTCGTGCGGCCCAACTGGCGTGCTATCGGCCTGGTACGCCCCCTCCCCCTCTCGCGTCGTTTCGTGTCTGAGTTTTTGGCCGTTCAGCAGAGAGAGCGTTAGCGTTGAAGAGCGCAGCAATGAGAGTCGCATCAATGCGCAAATCAACGGCAAGGAAGGGTCCCATTTCTTGGGTTTTAGGCCATTTTCTCTGTTTTTTTCTTCTCGTGCATCACTGACCATCTCCAGCTTAATTTCCAGTGAGCTGTTTTTTCACTGTAGAATTCGCCTTATTAGCGCCAGGTTTATCTGGGAGGATAAGTTTATGGATTAGGAGTGGGATGAGTTTAGAAACAGGTGTTGATAATTGTTGAATAGTAAGGCACTGTGTAAGTGTTATAGAGAGCATTCACTTACTTCTCGTCTTCGCCTCAAGCATCCGTATCCTTCGTAGGGTATTTGGCACCCATCACAGGACGTCTCACCTGCGCCATTTTCGTCACATACTTCGATACAGTGCTCATAGATTCGCCGTCGTTCCGCTTCGTGTTCAGTTTCGAGCTGAAAAACGATTGCAGTTAGGTAAATCTAAAAATGCAAAACCACGCTCCGTTTCTTGGAGGGAACCTGTCATAAATGCAGCTTTAGTTACAAGTACTGCACCATGCAGCCTCGGAAAGCATCACTCAATCAATTTTCACGGCTGTCGCCATTTTGCTACAGAGTTAAGGACTTTCCTCGAAGATAGAAATGACTGTCACTGTAGTAGTAAAATCCTGTTGAAGGGTTCTTGAGAAATGCATGAAGGAAGCAAAGTGTTGGTCAACCCACTTTTGGAATGCGCCAGGGATTTTACTTCATCCAGATTCGTGGGAGCATTGAGAAATGATTTGGATACATGTACTGAATTCTATGGCTGGATGGTGTTGAACTATGGCCATACTCTTCAGCGCAGGGTG